TAAGTTTTCTCAAATACAACGTATTTGTTTGCTTAAAATTGAAGTTTTAATTCCATTTTAATACCACTGGGAAAAATGATAATGGAAGGGATTAAAAGTTGGCAGGTATGGCTTAAACCTACCAAAGTGAAATTATCATAGATTCATAAATATGTAGAATTTATTTAAATATAGTGGTGGTCAATATCATTTTGAATTAAAGTTATAAACGCAAAGAATAAATAGCAAGCATACATTTCACTACCACTTTAAATGTAAAAGCAAAATTTAACGCTATATGCTTAAAAATTGGCAGGTATGTATATATATATATATATTCAATATATATATTCATTTCCTTAGTACTACATATGCAGGCCTGCCAACTGCTACGCTTTTCGCAAAATATTTGATAGAGTGGTAGCCTTTCAAAATTATTGGTAATTTTGGCAACTTTTCAAGAGCCTCACCAAGAAATAGCCTGAACAAAGCCTCGTCGCATATAAGCTTTCAAATCATTTATATCTAGAAGTGCAAAAAATAAGTTTAAATTAATAAAAAATAATACATTAAAAATCTAAAGATAACTACCAGTTGAGTAAATTTTTACAAAAAATCGTAGAAAGTTCACAGCTTTGTTAATGTATTCCGGGCATAAAACTACTCAAGTTTTTTTAAATTTCATCAGAACTTTTTGTTTTATTTTAATTTTGTAAGTGTTAAGATCATATCTCAAAGAAAAGTACAGGACGCCCATAGGCTCTTTAAAATTATTATAGTGGTATTTAAATTTTCGTCATAAAATGCATTTCAAAAAATTAAACAGGATAACAAGGTTTTTAAAAAGTTTAACATGAAACATTCCTGATCCCTACGATTATTCTATAACTCAAGCGTTTATAGAGTTATGTTATGGATGAAGTGAGAATTTATAGCATTTAAGTGGTTGCTGAACCAGAGAAATATCCCCTGGTTTGTTGATCCACTACTTTGCTGCTTTGTTTTTCCAACTTATACACTCTTCACAGAAAGTTTCAACTAGTGGTTGTAATGAGAAAATTGAATTGACATTTATACCTGCCATTTTGTACGGTCGTTGAAAAAGATTTTGCAAAACTTAAAACAATAGTAATTATGTTGAATTTTGTAAGAACAAAACTATTTAGATATGCATACCTGCCAACTTTTAATCCTTTCAAGGATGATATTCCCCAGTGGTAGTAAAATGAAATGTAAATTACAATTTTAGGAAGAAACATTTGCTGTATTATGACCAAGCTTATGCAGTTTACTAGAACAGTTTTACACACTAATGTATATGCTTAATTTTTTTAAAAATAGTGGTGAATTAAAAATATTATAAATTAAGTTTATAAATGAAAGGAATATATGGAAAGCATACATTTTACTACCACTTTAAATATAGAAATAAAATTTTACGCCAAATGCGTAAAAATTGGCAGGTATGGATATGTATAAGCGTAAATATCCAAAATGCGAACATTATCAACATATTTTTTTTTAAATTTTGATTCGTCGTGGTAGTTTAAATGTTTTTGTTTTTTTTTAATTTTAAAGATTCAATTCAGATTTAATATTCCAAAAACTGAGAAATTTTTTCTCAACATCAGTACAAGTTGGCAGCTAAAGACACTGCACCAAGACTATGGCAAACAAAGATACTCCCCAAAGGTTATCCTTGATAGTCAACACCAAGACAGTTACTGGGGAGAAATCTGTGAAAGCTTCGAAAAGCCAAGAGGGAAGCAGGTCCCAGGACATAGGGACATTCCAAACGCCCCTTCCTCTCAATTTCAATTTTGCTTTGGCAATTTTTAGTCACAACTCTCATTCAAATGAATGCGCAAAAGCCCGCAATAGGTTTGCGACACAGATATTGATTTTAAATACGTAATACGGACACTGTAAGCAGGATTAATTAGTCCGGTATTCGAAGCATTTAATGATGCGCAGCAAATCTTCAATTTTTAGGCTTAAGTCGTGGTGGCTCAGGGAATAGATCATTGGCCTTCCAATCAGGTTATCCGGGTTTGAATCCCAGCGATTGCTGGTAGATACCAATTCTACCAACCACAATGATAGAAATTAACGTTATTACCACTTTTTAATAATAGATATGCCATGATCACTGGCTGGCACTTAACGTGTTTAGTGTAAATCATACTTCAATTTGAAGTTTCGTAATTTAACATTCTGCATTTTGCTATTAAGTTGTCATTTAATATTCATGTGTGTAAGTGGTCAAAACATTTTGAAAAGAAGCTTTAATAATTTACATGCAAAGTAGTGTTTCTGGAATACTATGTAAAAGGGAGATTTTAATATTCTTTCAGGATACCTCTGTAATATGCTCCTTCTTTGATGTACGCATTATGTTTTTATTCAATGTGCCAAGGGTGGTATTTTCAAGATGATAGATGGCTCTCTGAACTTAAATCTAGAGACGAGAAGTTAGAAGAAATATCGTCTATAATTCATTATGTTACTATGTTTGTACTAGACAAGGATTTAAAACTGAAGGTTAAATACACACATACAAGTTAAATTATTTAAAAACAGGTAAAAAGAAAAATATGCTAATATCTTTCTTTATCTCCTTTGAAATCTTAAGTAAAGAGCCATAGAAAATGTGGGTCGTATTTGCCTCAGATTAAGTAAGTACAATTATGCATTTTAATTCTTAACCACCTGATTAACCAAATGTAAACTGAAGTAAGTATTATTCTATTTATTTCCTTAAATTTTTTTGATGCTAAGAAAGTATTGTGATGTGATAATTATAGCATGAAAAATTCAGTCATTTTTTATTAGAAAAAAGTGACATTTCTGAAGGGGTTGGGGATATAAAATTTTAGGACAATACTTTTTTTTTTTTTAATTAAAAGAACGGTCAAGTTGCTTCATGCTTCTATTGCTTTTGAAATGTGATATACTAACAACTACCATAACTAATAAATACCAAAAATTTCTTTTCAATACAAATAAGTTCTTTAGTTCTAGTTCTTCAGTCTAAGTTTAGTTCTAGTAGTTCTCTTTAGTATCTACTGTATTTATTAGAATAATACAATCGCCAATTCTTCCGCAGTATCTACAAGATTTTGTATTTAATATGGTAGCAAAACATAATACATTCATACTTTATTTTTATAAATTAAATGTACTTTATAATGCTGTTTGCTGCAATTAATCATTTCAACCAGAAAATAGTTTGATATAATTTTCAAAATTCTCAAAAAAGATATGGTTACTAATTATTAAGGTAAAAAAATTCTCATTTTAGAGTGCTAATTGAAAATGGCTCCTTAGTAGAGATGGGAACTTGCTCCGGACAGCAAATATATATTTTAAAGTGATAGTTTATCATTTGTGATACTTGGTTAAATAAATTAAATTTAGTAGATTTTTATCCACCACTATTTCTAAATAATTCGTAGGCTTATATAATTCACCACTTTATAGCAAAAAACAAGCAAAAATAATCAAATATTTGCAAAATTTACTTTGTAGTTATTTACCGTTTTTTTAAATTATTTTATCGTGTCTGGAGCAGTTAGCATCTCTGCCTTAGAAGCGACAGAGGAGTGCGAAAGGTTGAAATGGTTTTAATTACCACCGCATTTTAATAATTTAAACGTATTCATATTAGGCCTGCTAGCTTTTTAAAATTAAGTCTAAGTGTTGCCTAAGTTTTAATGCTAGTTTACAACTTCATTTTAAATAGCAATTCAAGTCCACGTAGAAAATCTTTTTTGACATTAATAAAAGTTGGCTGGGTATGGCATAATTACTCATACCTGCCAACTTTTAATCCCTTCCATTATGATTTTTCCCAGTGGTAGTAAAATAGAATAAAAATTTCAATTCCAAGCAAAAAAATACGTTGTATTTGAAAAAACATCAGCTGACAACCATGATAGTAACGCATATTACTATATATGCTGAATTTTTTTAAGAATAGTGGTGATCAAAATCATTTAAAAATTAAGTTTAAAGAAGAAAATATAGTNTAGTAGTTCTCTTTAGTATCTACTGTATTTATTAGAATAATACAATCACCAATTCTTCCGCAATATCTACAAGATTTTGTGTTTAATATGGTAGCAAAACGTAACACATTCACACTTTATTTTTATAAATTAAATGTACTTTATAATGCTGTTTGCTGCAATTAATCATTTCAACCAGAAAATAGTTTGATATAATTTTCAAAATTCTTAAAAAAAATATGGTTACTAATTATTAAGGTAAAAAAATTCTCATTTTAGAGTGCTAATTGAAAACGGCTCCTTAGTAGAGATGGGAACTTGCTCCGGACAGCAAATATATATTTTAAAGTGGTAGTTTATCAATTGTGATACTTGGTTAAATAAATTCAATTTAGTAGATTTTTATCCACCACTATTTCTAAATAATTCGTAGGCTTATATAATTCACCATTTTATAGTATTTATGTCCGCGGCCCAGGTGCCCAATAAAATCAAAACACTAGGACTAGTATTTATGTCATGCTATACATTTTAAAAAGCAAGCAAAAATAATCAAATATTTGCAAAATTTACTTTGTAGTTATTTACCGTTTTTTTAAATTATTTTATCGTGTCTGGAGCAGTTAGCATCTCTGCCTTAGAAGCGACAGAGGAGTGCAAAAGGTTGAAATGGTTTTAATCACCACCACATTTTAATAATTTAAACGTATTCATATTAGGCCTGCTAGCTTTTTAAAACTATGTCTAAGTGTTGCCTAAGTTTTAATGCTAGTTTACAACTTCATTTTAAATAGCAATACAAATCCGCTAAGAAAATCTTTTTTGACATTAATAAAAGTTGGCTGGGTATGGCATAACTACTCATACCTGCCAACTTTTAATCCCTTCCATTATGATTTTTCCCAGTGGTAGTAAAATAGAATAAAAATTTCAATTGCAAGCAAAAAAATACGTTGTATTTGAAAAAACATCAGCTGACAACCATGATAGTAACGCATATTACTATATATGCTGAATTTTTTTGAGAATAGTGTTGATCAAAATCATTTAAAAATTAAGTTTAAAGATGAAAATATAGTATATATTTACTGCCACTTTAAATATAAAAATAAAATTTTACGCCAAATGCGTAAAAGTTGGCAGGTATGACTACTGCTCGTTAATATATTATTAAGTTAAGTGGCTAATAAGAAAATAAAATTGAAAAATACTAATTACCACTCTTTATTTGTGAAACGTTGTCCTAAGTTATGACGTCAAATCTCCAGCCCCTGGTTTCCAATCATTGGTTTATAGATTTCAGTAAGTTATTTTAGTATTTCGAGTGTGTGTGTGTTATTATTAATTTTGAAAAATTGAATGTTTTTAATTTTTGCATGTATTTGAAAAATTAATGTGATAAAAAAAGTTATTCCCCATCAATAAACGTGAGTTGTTTTAGCTATGTAATTAATGAAAAATCGTCATAGTCATCACAATTACTAACCTTTTGCGATCGGTGCAATTAAAACGAATAAGTAAACCAAGTACGAAAATCAAAACGTTAAAAAATCATCACAATATATTAATTTGCTCCCCATTCAGTAAAATTATAGCATATAAAAGTGAACTCTCAGAAAAATAATGGTGTATTAAATAAAAATTAAAAAATATGGGATTGTAAATATTGCATGTGGAGCTTTGTCACTTTTGGGTAATCTTCAAGTGCCTAAGGTAGAGCTACTAAATTCTCCAGCCATGCAGTTTATGTTCCATTTATTTTAAGAAAAGGAAAAGCCTTCTAAACGTTCCTGGAGCACTTTAATAATTTATCATGACGCTAGTAAATACTACTTACGAGTGAAATCCACCACAACTCATGATACAAGCGGGCTTTTTAGACAATTTCACCCATTTGTGCGTAGCTTCCCTTGAAAGGTTAGAAATAGGTGAATAACTGATTCATCCGGCATAAAAAGACATATAATAAATATTGGTGGGAAAAGGAAATGAGAAGGGAAAAGTGGCGCCATTCACCAAAAGTTGGTAAGTCATATATTTAAGTAAATTATAAAGTAAAGACATAATAAATAATAACAGTAAACAGTATAAATAAGAAATAATAAAAGTAAAAAATATAATATACATACAAAAAAAATTAAGTGCAATATTTACAAGTAAATCCACAATGGTTTGACAAAATAATATCACAATTGAATTAGAATTGAAATTAAATAAAAAACAGTTTGCCAAAAGAAATTTAAGTTAAAAATGACTTGATTAAATAATTTAGAATAATGAGTTGACATCAAGTAAGCCAAAGTAAAATAAAGTCTGTATCTCTGTTAATACGACGGCCCAGGTGACCTAGTAATAACCGCTCATTTCTGAGTTCATCAGCACTCTGAAATTAACAATTGATTTGTCCCTCGAACGCTAAGCAGGGGTTGATCGTATATCAAAGTGCTGATAAATTACAGTAGTCTAAATCTGTGTAAATAAATCTTTTTCCGAAATGACGCTATATTTACTTTAAAATGCTAAGAAATAAAAAGTGGTAACACTAATGTTCATTTATTAAGATTTATTTCAAAGAAACAAAATAGTTTCGCCTTAACTATTTTCTCCCACTACCAAATAAGTTGCTACGTTTAAGTCGACAATTTTGTCCCAAATTAGTTGCTACATTTAAAGCAGGGGTAATAATAATTGCCAACTAATGCAAGTTAGTAAATCGACACCAGTAAAATTATACTGCTACTGTGAATGGGAATACTAGGTTTACTATAGAGATAGTTTTATACGATTACTGGTAAAAGAGTGCTTATCAAATAAAGCGTGGCTTAAAAGCGTGCGAACCCTTGATTTTGAAGCTAATTTGGTACTGATTAAAGAAGGGAATGCTTGATAAGTAAATGTTGTCGAATGACAGCATAGCACCCTGAAAATTTAAAAAAATGTGTAAAATCATTAGATTCAATAATTAGTTCAGAGGTACTCGAATGTAGTAACTAATATGGAACAGAGGAGGTAATATATTCTAAACACAAATACTTATGGTCTGAAATCTGTTTTTTTTTCTTTATTTACATTCCGACAAAAACTTTAGAAATCTATGGTGAGTGAGGATAGGCATCACCCATAACCTCCTACATCAGAAAGGCTCCACATAGCTTTTTAGAGCCAGAAGTGTGCACGAACCCAATTTCTATTTTAATTGTAATTAAGAGAAATTTGTCATATATAATTGAGTATTGAATCTGTAGTAGTTGATAAGTAAATAAGACAAACCAATTATATTCATAAATTAAACATATTTTTAGACATATATTTGCTACCACTATTTTATTTTACTAAATTTTCTATTAAATGATTCTTTTGTAAACTTGTTTACCTTCATAGTGGTCTGATCGGACTAGCTACAAAAAACCGTGGGGAGGTTTTCAGTTATAGGAGGTGGTGGAATAGGGCGGCACCCGGGGTCCGGATAAAAGACAAGGATTCGCAAAGATCTTTCAAAGCTTTGTTTTGCAAACAACTTGATTTTTTTCCGTCTACTTATGTTATATCTTTGACAACTAGTATTTTGCCACTCAATCAGATGAAAAAAGAATAATAATTAATAAATAAAGTAAAAATTAAATAGAAGGGTTGCAATATTTCTTAATAATTTATTAGAGCAAGATAGAAACTTAAAAGAACTTCTTTGTATTACAACCATTTCCAGATTAACAAATTTTCCTTTAATTCAGGCTGGACATTGGAGAGTGCGACTATAGATTGCTCAGACTAAGTGAAGCGACATACTTAGGCTCTTTCTTTTTTAAAGAATAGTAGTAGCAAAACATATAAAAGTAATAAGTTTTGTATTTCTAGAGGCTTTTATAATTTGTTTAATAAGTGTTGCTAGATTGGTAACACTGAACCGAAAATGATTGACTCTAAGCACAATTTATAGTGTTATTTGACAATAACTGGTTTTTGTAATTAATTTATTTCTTAATCATTTTGTATTTTAGATAAGGGCAAGTTTGTGTTATAAAAGAAGATGCTTTTATAATCTATACCAGAAACAGCCGAAGGATTTTTAATGATTGATGCAGATATCACATTATGTATATTATTTGATAAGTGCATGCCATAAATTGTAAATGCTCTGTTCTGAACATTATTCTTGTGAATCATACACTGTAAAAAATATTCATAAATTTGAAACATATATTTTTGTGTATTAAAATAAATATTATATTTTTTCCTATGTCGAGTTGTACATTTGCGTCAGAATGTAACTTTTAATTTTTTCTCGAAATTTTTTTTCATAGTTGTTATTTTTATTTATATTGTGATATTGTGCTATATTTCTATCTCAGTATAAACCACTCGCATTAATTAGCAAAAAAATTGCTAAGAAATTGTGAGAATATAAAAAAAAAATGAAAGAAAAAAAGACAGAATTTTACATTAAAAAAAATTGCTAAAAAAGCAAGATATGTTTCTTTTTAATGAAATTTGAATTTATTCTTCATCACTAAAAATGTACAAATTAGCAATTTCTTGTAACAAAATATGCCAATTTCTGATACTTGTATTTGTCAAGAATAATTCTTTGCCGCTAGCAATCTAATATTTTTTTTCGTTCGGTTCACATTTTATTCAGCACTTTAGGATTACGGCACACAGTGTTGCCGTGAAATATCCTCATTGGTAGACGGATCCTGGGTTAGAGTCTCCTTGCTGTCAGGCTAATCGTGGGAGGCTTTCGTGGTATTCCTATCCATGGAACGCGCAAATACGGGTTAGTTCCATCATAAAGTCCTTCATGAAAGGAAATTTCTCTCAATACTTGATGCAGGAGTTCCCTTGTCTTCTAGATTGGGTTCAAAATTACAAGGCTACGGAGTTGAATATTGGTAGTCGTAAGCCCAAAATCGGGCCGGCTGTTCAAGGACGGTTCTAAAATAAGACAATAAACACTGTAGGATGGACAAGGTTGAATTGAATTATGTATTTCGAGTAAGTACATTGTCCTGGGAAAATTATGTATACACTTCCGTACAAACTCTATGTAAATAATCGTTCTTTCGGCGACAAATATGTTCAAAAATGGCAAAACTTTGGGCGCAATTTGCAAAATCTTGCTTGAAGCTTACAGAAATAATATCATTTTTACCAATGTAAATTTCAGATCGACCAAAATGGGGTGAGTGAGTTACTAACTGCTTTTTGCTTGCATATCAGCAATTGTAAAATAATTCTAAAAGTTAGCAATATTTATGTTAGAATGCTGTTTTAAAAAATTATAATGGTAAAGAAATGGAAAAGAGGCTCATTGTGGTCGATGCAATTTTTTCCATGATTAAAAATGACCATATTTCCCAGATTGCAGCTAACCCTTATGTTTTTGGGTTCATAAATCTGTACCCGTCACGAAAAATGAATTTTTATTCAGAGAAAGTAAGTTATTGGGTTTCATTTCATAACTTCAAAGGCAGTCTGCACTAATTAATAAGCATATTTGAGGTCACCCCTTTGAACCACTAAGATTGAGTCCTAGAACGTGAAGAAGATCCAATCATTAGATCAAAAGTTATTCAGGTTGGTCCTTTCTTTGACGCACTGTAAGTCTTGTATATCAGCCCTATAGTATATCACATTTTTTTTCTTTAAAGAAAAATTAGCTTAATGTTCTAGAGCAAAAATTTCTATTTTGTAAAACAATCCTGCCATATTTCTTCTTTATCTAAAGACCATTGATTAATTACTTAAGCCATTCCGAAATAGTAAATTTTGATCAAAAGCTTTAGTCAGCAAGACATTAGCAAGACCAACCTAATACAATACATTTTGACTTCAGTGAAACAATTTAGAACTTTGTTATTTAAAGAATAGTAGTCGCTGAACGTTTAACAGAAATTATTTTTAGAGTTCTAGCGATTTGTAATATTTGTTGAATCATTGATAACGGAATGGTCCATCACCTCCTACATCAAGTAGCCTCCACACGGTCTTTATAAGTAGTCCGCTCAGACTGTTTAAAAAGTGAACCGCACAAGTGAACAGTTTTGCGCATGAACCCAAAACCTTTTATAAAAGTAATTGACAGAAATTTTTTATATATATTTGACAATAGAATCTGCAGTGGTTGACAAATGAATTATGCAAACAAATAATATTCATAAATAAAAAAAATTTTAATCATATATTTGCTACCACTTTCTTATTTTGACTATATTCTGTATTAAATGACTCGTTCGGTAAGTGGATTTCCTTCACAGTGGTCAGATCGGACTACCTGAAAAAACCGTGTGGAGGCTTTCAGTTACAGGAGGCGTTGACTGGTCACACTGCACCGGAAAGGGATAACTATTTCACTTTCCTGGCATATTGTGACCAAAACTAAACATATTTTTTAAAACAATTTTTTATTGTAATCGGTTATAAGAATTCAAATCAGCAATCGAAGCTTTTGCTTGCCAGCATAAAACCGTATCAATCAGGGTAAAAAGATGAAACTGGTAATCAAAGAAATTCTTAATCAGTTTATTTGTGGGCGGAGTTATAATTCTTTGATTTATTTAATTCACCATTACTTTGTTCAAAATAAAACTATTTAGTTAAACTTTAATTAACATTAATTATATATATGATTAAACTAACAATAATTAAAGTAAAAGCAAAGTAAGTCTGTCAAATTAGCAACGACTACATTTAAGTTACCGTTTTTTATTTAATTACAACCTGATTCTGATTTTGTTCGAATGCTTTTTTGAATCACCCGTCCCCTATGGATTAAATCTCATGAGCCGTATGAATACCAGAGGGTATTGAAAGATGTCGAAGAATCCCAAACTGCGCAAACGCGCATTCTCTAAATGAGTACGAAAAGATCCACGCTGCGCGATAGAGCTTGTTTTATTTTATGTCAAGAAATTACCGATAGCACTTCGTTTATTTTACATCGCTGAATCGTAAAAATACATCCCCTCCTACATCAAGAAGCCTCCACACGATCCTTTATAAGTTGTTCGCATTTACTGTTTAAAAAGTGAACCAGTTTTGAGCATGAACCCAAACCCATTTATAAAAGTAATTGAGAGAAATTTATCTTATATATTTGAGAAATGAATCTGTAGTGGTTGACAAATGAATAAGGCAAACCAATAATATTCATAAATAAAATAAATTTTTAGTCATATATTTGCCACCACTTTCTTATTTTAACTATATTCTGTATTAAATGACTCGTTCGGTAAGTGGATATTCTTCACAGTGGTCAGATCGGACTTCCTGTAAAAAACCGTGTGGAGGCTTTCAGTTATAGGTGGCATTGAAAAATAGCGCTTCTTGTATTTGTTAGGTAAAGTGTCCTTTTCTCATCACTCCGTCACATTAATTGCAGTTTGCAAAGCGATCGAAAATATTCTTGCGTCACATTAATTGCAGTTTGCAAAGCGATCGGACATATTCTTGCGTCACATTAATTGCAGTTTGCAAAGCGATCGAACATATTCTTGCGTGACATTAATTGCAGTTTGCAAAGTGATCGAAAATATTCTTGCGTCACATTAATTGCTGTTTGCAAAGCGATCGAAAATATTCTTGCGTCACATTAATTGCAGTTTGCAAAGCGATCGAACATATTCTTGCGTAAGCGTTTCTCATTGTTTGTAATTGTGTGTTTCAAAATTATTAGACGAAGCAACGCGAAATGTAAGTAAAAAAATTATCTCGATTTACTGTTTAACGTTTTTAAATTTGGTGCATCCCCAAAAAGGTAGAAAGAATCGAAAAGGAAAATCCATGATCATAATCACAAATCCATGTGATCATATTATTGACGACTATGACGACTACACTGTAAAATGTAAAAGACAAAGCAGTTTGAGTACTTCAAAGGATAGTGATAACAATAAAATAAAAACTTTTATTTTGTAATGCATTATTGCATCATTATAGTATTACTCCACCTAATGTAAAATGTACTATTTACATTAAAAGGATCTGTGTGAAATACTTGCTTCAGTAAATCTGAGCGCGACTTCAACAATCGGTAACGCACCGTGAGTTGCCCACAATGTTCGAAATGTGCTGGGTTTTCTCGACATGAAATCTCAACAGCTCGATCACGCTACTTGGATCTCAAACGGTTAAATAAACAAATAATCATACATTATGCAATATATTTTACAAAAATTGAAAAAAAAATTCCACAAAATGGAGTAAGTTGAAAACGCAATTTTTCTCTTAGTTACATATAGAAATAGTTCCTTGTATCAATCCGAGTTAGCTCATCATGAAATATTTTTTGAAGTAAAAATAGGTAGGATAATTATTTTGTTAATGTCCATCTAAGAAAAACTCGATACTCATATAATCGATAATACATTAATTATACGAAAACACAAAATTGTATTTTTCACTTTACATCGTTGTCATTCTTTTTAACAAATTAGTATATAAAACTAATAAATAAAAACATACTTTTAATTTTCTTTCTCTTTATTTTTCAGAAATTTTCTTAAGAAAAAGAAAGATTAAGAAACTTCTAGAAAACACAAAGAAGTTACTATCGACAATAAAGTAATTAAAAATTAATTTCTTTTTTTCTCTTATAAGAAGAATAAATTAGTTGAGAATAATTACGCAAGACTTAATTAGAATGAAAAAAAAAAATTATTAAACAATTAACAAATAATGGTTTTTCGTAAAATTAATTTAATGAATTGTTTTTATATATTTTTTTAGATTCTCATAAGCAAATTTTTATTTGTAATGCGATTGTTCCCTTATGATCAAACTTTATTATAGCATTGATTAATTTTATATATTTCTTCTTTCAAATAATCCCTTAAACTCGCCAAAAAAGAAATCCGAATTCACTGCTTTCGGAGATTAAGGACTAGTTAAATTAAAAAAATTCTAATGCAACTATTTCGATTTTAAGAAGTTAAAAAATCAAATTGTTATCTAAATTAGAACAAGACCTAAGAGACTGTTTTTTTTTCTTTCTGATTTTTTACTGACACACTGAACTTTTTATGCTTGATGTTTTTTTATTTCTTGGTCGATATATTTTTTACTACTAAAATTTATAGTACGTGCCCAATTTTTAAGAGCCGCATTACGAGAGAGTTGTTACAAAGTGGGATTTTATACGAATTTATGAATAATTTACAAAAAGTGGTATGAAGAAAAATAAAATTTACAACAAGGAATGGGATAGGGGCTAGGTGCCCAATAAAATCACAACACTAGGAC